TACTGGAATAAATAATGCTATAACACAAGAAAAAGAAAAGGTATACAGATTAGGAAGGAAGAAATACAACTGTCTTTGTAAGTGACATGACCACATACGTAAAAATCTGAAAAACAACAAAAAACTCCTGGAACTACGATTGATTACAATTAAGGTTGCACAACACAGGGTTAATATACAAATCAATTATTTTTCTTGGTATCAGCAATGAAAGAGTGAAATTTGAAATTAAAAACACAATACCATTTACATTAGCACTCTAAAACGAATGAAACACCTCAAGTATAAATCTAACCAAATATGTTTATAATTTATATAAGGAAAACTAAAAACCTCTGATAAAAGAAATAAAAAAGGGAACTAACAGAAGGATAGTATACATCCATGGATAAGAAGATTCAATACTATCAAGTCAATTCTTCCCAACTTGTACTACAGATTCAACACAATCCCAGTAACTAATCTTGTGAATACTGACATATTGATACAAAGTTTATACGAAGAGGTGAAAGACCTAGATTAGCTATCATAATGCTGAAGCAAAGAACAAAGTTGGAGGACTGACATTACCTAACCTCAACACTTACTATACTACTTGAAGCTCCAAGACTACAGCTATAGTAATCACAAAAGCATGGTGAAAGAACAGACAAATAGGTAAATCAAACAGAATAGAGTCCAAAAATATACCCATATAAATACGGTCAGCTGATCTTTGGCAAAGGAACAAAGGCAACGGATACAATGCAGAAAAGATAAGTCTTTTCAACATATGGTGACGTAACTACACATTCACATGCAAAAAAAAAAAAAAAAGAAAGAAAAAGAAAGTCCTGTCATTCACATCAACATAAATGAACTTGGAGGACATTATGTTAAGTGAAATAAGATAGACACAGAAAGATGAATACCACATAATCTCACTTACATATGGGGTATAAAACAGTCTAACTCAGAAACAGATGGTAAAACGGTGGTTACCAGAGGCTGAGGAGTAGTGGGGTTGGGAAAATATTGGTCCAAGGATACGAAATTTCAGTTAAACAGGAGGAATAAGTCCTAGAGTTCTACTCTAACAGGTAAGTTCTAGAGTTCTACATTATGGTGATTATAGCTAATAAAAATACAATGCATATTTGAAAATCACTGAGAATAGAATTTAAGTATGTTCTCACCACACACACAAAAAAATGGTACGTGAGGTAATACATGTTAAATGGCTTGATTTAGCCATTCTACAATGTATACATATATCAAGACCATATATCTACACCATAAATACAAACATATTTCACTTCTCAATTAAAAAAAAATTTACAAACCCCAAATCGACTAGATACTAGTATAAAACACAAAACTATAAAACTCCTAGAAGATAACATAGCAGGAAATCTAGATGACCTTGGGTATAGCAATGACTTTTTATTTTTTATTTATTTTTGGGGGATGGGGTCTTGCTCTGTTACCTAGGCTGGAGTGCAGTGGTGTGATCTCAACTCACTGCAACCTCTGCCTCCCAGGATCAAGTGATCCTCCCACCTCAGCCTTCTGAGTAGCTGGGATCACAGGCACGTGCCACTACTTCAGGCTAATTTTTTGTATTTTTGGTAGAGATGAGGGTTTTACCATGTTGCTCAGTCTAGTATTGAACTTCTGATCTGCCTACCTTGGCCTCCCAAAGTGCTGGGATTACAGGCGTTAGCCACCACTCCTGGCCTGACAATGACTTTTTAGATATAACATCAAAGGCATGATCCATGGAGGAAAATTGGTAAGTTGGACTTCATTAAAATAAAAAATGTCTGCTCTATGAAAGAAACTGCCTAAAGAATGAGAAGGCAAGCCACAGACTGGGTGAAAATATTTACAGAAGACTCATCTGATAAATAACATCTGTTATTCCAAACATTAAAAAATCTCCCAAATACACAAAAATACACATATACCCTTAAAAGTCAACAAGAAAACAAACCAGTTTAAAAAACTGGCAAGTCATGAAAGACATGATCACCAAAGATATACAAATGGCAAATAAACATATGAAAAGATGTCCAACAACATGTCACTAGGAAAATGCAAATTAAAACAATGAGGTATTACTACATATTCATTAGATTACACAAAATCCAAACACTGACAACATCAAATACTGGTGGGGATGTGGAGCAATAGCAACTCTCATTCACTGCTGGTGGGAATGCAAAATGGTGCAGCCACTTTGGAAGAGTCTGGTAGTTTCTTGTAAAATTAAACATACTCTTACCATACAATCCAGCAATCACATTCGTTGGTATTTACCCAAATGAGCTGAAAACTCATGTCCACACAAAAACCTATACACAAATGTTTATAGCAGCTTTATCCATAATTGCCCAAACTTGGAAGCAACAAAGAAGTCTTTCAATTGGTGAATGGATAATAAACTGTGGTACATCCAGATAGAGTATTATTCAGCACTAAAAAGAAATGAGCTACTATGGCATGAAAACAAATGAAGAAACTTTAAATTTACGTATTGCAAAGTGAAAGAGGCCAACCTAAAAAAGGTGCATACTCTATGATTCCAGCTATGTGACATTCTGAAAAGGCAAAACTATGAAATCAGTAAAAAAGAAAAATGGTTGTCATGAATTATTGAGTAGGGAGGAATGAGCAGACAAAGCACAGAGGATTTTTAGGGCAATACTACCATAAGAGTATCATACCAACTGTCTATATGATACTATTATGTCAGATACCCCACAGAATGTACAACATAGAGTGAAACCTAATGTAGCCTATGGAGTTTGGTGATAATCATGTGTCAACTTAAGTTCATTAACTGTAAGAAATGTATTGCTCTGTTGAAGATATTAACAGTGGATGATGCTGTGTGTGCTGTGTGTGTGGTATGTGCATGTGCTACGGTAAAGGGAGCGGTAGAGAATATATGGGTACTTTCTGTATTTTTTGCTCAATTTTGTTATGAACCTAAAAGTTCTCTAAAAAATAAAGTCTATAAAAAAATGAAATACTTTTTTAAATGTACATGAAATACCAGTTCTCGCCAATTAAATCGCCACACATGAAAATGTATGACAATTCATTTTACTGTCAACACTGTAAAGAAACAAACACACTCACATGTTGCTGGAGGGAATGCAAATTGATAGTCTCCTCTGGAGGGGAATGTGGTGATATGTAACAAAACTAATACACATTTACTTTTGATCCAGCAATCCCATTTCTAGAAATGGACTCTGAAGATTCACTTCCAATAACATGAAAATATACAAGCATAAGATTACTCATTGTAGTAATGTTTGTAAGGGGAAAATATTTAAAGTAACGTAAATATCTGTATATAAGAAAGTGGTGAATAAACTATAGTACATCAACATATAATGGAGCACTATCCAACTGTAAAAGAGAATGAGGAAAATCTTTATCAACTGATGTGGAATGATTTCCAGGATAAATTATAAATTTTAAAAAGCAAAGTGTAAAAAACTATGTTGCATTTTGTGTAAGAAAGTCAAAATAAAAAGTTATATGTATTTCTCCACTTGTCCAAACAAACAAGAAACCAATGAGACTGGTTATCATTACAAGGCAGATAAAAATTGACAGCACAGAAAAACAGAATTGGGTGGAGGAGAAAGAGTAACATTTCTCTAAGAATATGTTTTTGAATATACAGACACACATATTTTCACTTTTAGAATTAAGTTACATTTACATATTCAATAAAAGAATGAATGAACTAAATAGACAAGATGGAGGAGAAAAGCATGAAAACAAATGAATCTGTGTTTCAAATAAACAACTACCCAGAAAAGGAAAAAAATACCTCTTTAACATAATACTGGGACTATGTATATTCAACTGTGTATGTATATTTGATTCAAGTCTCTGCCTGAAGATTACTTCCTCAAAAAGAAGCATACCCTGACTACGTTATCTAAAACAGCCTGTGTTGCTTTATCCCATTTTATTTCTCTCCATAGTCCTTATCACCATTCAACTTTGTGATACGCATTTATATACATTTTATATTTGTTCATTTGTTTGTCTTTTTACTAAAATATAACTTCTATTAGGGTTAGGACTTAGTCTTTTGTTTACTATAATATCCCTAGTACCTGCAGTACATTTGTGGAATAAATGAAAAGCATGAACAAATATCAGAACAAACAGGCCTGACCATCATCCTTGGACCCCCAGTAGCGATACAACAGACTAGACCACTAGCCCTAGGTGGTTCCTCTGGCAAACCCAAATACATTTTTCAAGTGTTAGCTCCAAGGTACCCTCCTCTAGAATGCTTCTCTTGCCCCATCCTAGGAAGAGATTAGTACACTTTGCTGCTAGGGTAGAAATGAAAGGAATAAGCTGGAACACAACAAAAGTCCAAGCAAACAGGCTAATTCATACAACTTGAGAGTTCATAGTTATCCTTATAGTTAAAGGGTTTATGGGATCAAGAGACAGTAAAGCATTATTTAAAATTAGATAGTGTTTATAGGCCTTAGGCTTGGAAATTTCTCATTTATTTTCATTGATTGCATGGATTATCTCATTTGGTCCTCCCAAGGACCCTATAAAATAGCTTTATTAATACATATATTTGGATCTTACAGGTAGAAAACCTGATGCTTACTGCAGTTAGATAATCACCCAACAACTTACAAATAGTTAGTAGCACAGCCAGTATTTAAATATCTCTCTTCTGACTCCAGAGCCTGCCTAAGCATTAGACATACCACCTCTTTGTGCTACAAATCAAGAAGCAATTACTGCAAGCCTAACATGAATATGCATGCATGTTGAAAAGGAGTAGAAAATAACCTTAAATTGGTAGGATACGGTCCAGTTTTATCACTCTGCTGTCTTAGAAGCTAAGAAAGGGCCATTCTCTTCTTTTCCATATATCTTCTCCCACACTTTCCTGTCTTTCAGCCTGCCCCACCCCATGCCCCATCCACATTTATACAGAAACACAGAGCCTGTACGCCACTTACCATAACAAGAAAGACTCAAGACCATCTTCCTTTTGGTTTCAAAAGGTCCCTAGTCCAGAACTATTCACAACAGTCAGTTCTACCATCTCCTAGAGGAAAAATCAGAAATACAGACAATGACCTTGTGAAATTTATAATTCATAATTTTTCCAGAGCTGGCCTAGAAAACTGATCCCATTTCCTCTCCATTCTAGTGAGCATCCTTCAACCAACCATAGCTTACTTCTTCCCATCTTTGCTTACGTTGTTTCTCCTGCAGGAAGTACCTACCGCTGGTAGCCATCAGTTCCGACTAGTTCTAGACAAAATGTCAAGAATCTTTCTGAATAATTACTAACTGTAACTTCACAACAAAGCCTTAAGCCTCGTTTCCCTTGTTTGTTTTTTCTCCTTCTGCGAATTGTTTTTGTTGGTATTATCTCATCTTCTAAGGTCAAAGACACATTGTAGTAATAGATATAATAATAGAAAACTGGTGCCCGTCAAACCCCAAAGTGAATGTGATAAATGTACTTAATATAAAATTATATGTAATTCCGTTTTCCAAAAAGAAATGCTTATAGAAAGATTAAACAAACCAGATACTTCTGCAAATAGACTCAACTGCAACATAACTAATTTCTGCACTGAAGATGGAGAGAAAAACCCATTCAACGTCCTTTTTTTTCCTCGATATATATGAAAGATATCTATGGCTTTGAAAAGTGCCTTGCAGTGTTCACTATTATTACTTCTAGGAACTACCGTACTAACGTTCTCTTCCTTCAACTTTTCACTGACCATCATTCAGTCCTCCGTCCGCCGTCAGGTGGGAACCAGACCATGCTTCGTGTCCAGGAACAGGGGCTGCTCCCACTCGACTGCGGCCCAGGGTCTGGGGTCCCGCCGCGCCCCCATCCCACCCCTGGGCCCCGCAGGCCGCGCTTACCCAGGCAGCCGCCGGCGCCGCCCCTAGGCCTGGGGACAGCACTTCCGGTTAGTCTCCGGACACTCGGATCTGGGCTTCCTGGCGGCCGCAGACTCCGCGGTGGTGGATCTAAGGGCCAGGCTTCGGAAAGGAAAGAAAAGCGAACCCGGGACGCACGAGAGCTAGGAGCAACTCCCGTCGTGCGTCTGGACGAGAGCAGTTGGGCCCGGCCGCCCACTGAGCGCTTTAAGGGCAGACAAGGCGCCTACGCAAACCCTTTCAAGCGGGCTGGGAAGAGGCCGGCGCAGCCCCACCCCCGCAGGTCACGTGATCACCCCTCTCCGGCCACTAGGGCGTTCCAGCCCCGGCCCCTGGGCCAATAGGAGCCGAGTCTTCGGAAAGGGGCGGGGCCCGGGGCGCCTGCGCTGTGCGGGCCCTCCGCGCGGTGGTGGGAGGGGGACTTGCTGGCGCAGTGGAAGGCAGCGTGTGGGGAGAGGCCGCCGTTACCAGCTTGTCTAGGAATAAACGGCACCAACAGCGTTGCGGTTTATGTTACAGTTTCCCCAAGGCTGTTAACCGAGGACTCAAACCAGGAGTAGAGTCACAAAGATTGGATGCCGCCTACCTTGAAAGAAGCACCTGGAAAGATCTGGAAGAGAGAGGATTCTGAAGCACAGTGGCGGTGCTGTCACCCACGAAGATGTGGCCAGCGAGATGGAAGAAATGCTTTTGCAAGTGGTGGCCTTGTGTGATTGGAGAAAACAGCAGCGAGAGAAAGTACTGTGGGAGGTTTCCCAGTTCTTGCATCAGTTTCTGATTTGGAATCAGCTAAGAGTAAATCACCTAGTGTTGGGCTGGAGTGCAGTGGCCCCATTTCAGCTCACTGCAGCCTCTGCCTCCTGAGTCTGAGCAATTCTCCTGCCTCAGCCTCCCGAGAAGCTGGGACCATAGTTGTGCACCACCATGCCCGGCTAATTTTTGTAGTTATAGTAGAGAACAGGGTTTCACCATGTTGGCCAGGCTGGTCTTGAACTCGTGACCTCAAGTGATCCATCTGCCTTGGCTTCCCAAAGTGCTGGGATTACAGGTGTGAGCCCATCTCTTCTTAATTTACCTTTTCTCTCATACATTGAATCTGTCTGGCTATTCACCATTCTTCCTTTTCCCAAATAATACCTGGTTGCCTTTTTGTGTTTCCTGTTCAGTTCTCTAGCTTATCTGTTTTACAAAGGTCTATTTTGTCTTTCCGTCTTGGCTGTTACAAGTTCATAAGACAATACCTTCCTCCCTGAGCTAAGAATGAAATGTAGTAATAAATGCAAAGGGACCATCACAGTGACTAGGCATGTAATAGGTACTCATTAAAATGTTAGTTCTACAAGCCCAGCTAATTTTGTATTTTTAGTAGAGACAGGGTTTCAAAAAAAAAAAAAAATGTTCTAGGCCTGGCATAGTGGCTCACACCTGTAATCCCAGCACTTTGGGAGGCCAAGGCAATGGATAGCTTGAGCTCAGGAGTTTGAGACCAGCTCAAGATTAGCCTAGGCTGCATGGTGAAACCTTATCTCGAGCAAAAATACAAAAATTAGTCAGACGTGGTGGTGCGTACTGTGATCCCAGCAACTCAGGAGGTTGTGGGAGGATCATTGGCGTCCTCTGGGAAGTTAAGGCTGCAGTGAGCTCAGATTATACTACTACACTTCAGCCTGGGTGACCGAGCAAGACCCTGTCTTAATAAAAGAAAAAAAAAACTCACTAAAGCAGGAGTCCCCAACCCCCAGGTCACGTTCCGGTTCGTTGCTTGTTCAGAACTGGGCTATAGAGTAGGAGGTGAATGACGGGCGAATGAGTGAAGCGTCCATCTGTATTTCCAGCTGCTCCCCATCACACGCATTACGCCTGAGGTCCACCTCGTGTCAGATTAGCAGCGGCATTAGATTCTCATAGGAGCGCGAACCTTATCGTGAACTGCTCATGCAAGACATCAGATTGCCTGCTCCTCATGAGAATCTAGTGTCTGACGACCTGTCACTGTCTCCCATCACCCCCAGATGAGTATTTGAGTGACATCCGTAAGCCTCACTGTGCTGTGCCTCTTATACTCATAGACTCTGTATCCTAGTTAATGAGACATTTTATGTAAATCTCGCCCAATGAGTCTAGTCTAGTTGCCCGAAGACAACCTCAGAATCCCCGTGATTCTACATTATGAGTTCTATAATAATGTAATTATATATTACAATGTAATAATAATAGAAATAAAGTGCACAATAAATGTAACGTGCTTGAATCATCCCCAAACCATCCCCTCCACCGTCTGTGGAAAATCTGTCTTCCACAAAACTGGTGCCTGGTGCCAAAAAGCTTTGGAAGTGCTGCTCTAAGGGGAATCATGCGCTCTGCCTCTTTTTGGATCCAAACTTTTCTGAGCCCTTAGATGCCAAATAAGTGCGAAAACATGGAGACTTCTTTCTGAGTCCTTTGTTTTGTCTTTGTCTCTGTCTCTTGATTTTATCTTTTTCATTTACTTTCAGGTTTGTCTTTTTCTATTTCCCAGGATTCCTTTCATTCAGTTCATCCTCAACCAGATAGACTTGGAGGGCCAGCCTCAAGGGGACAGACATAAGCTGAGGAAGGTAAACCAGGAGGAAGTTTAGGTGACCCTAAAGCATAGTCCCTGAATAGACTGAATCTTTCTGAGATTACCCACCATAGTAGTGAAAGGACCTGAGTGGGTTAAATCTGTAAGCCTCATTGTGCAGTACCTTTTATACTCCTCAGCTCTGCATCCTAGTCAATACGACATTTTCTGTAAATCCTGCCCAGCGAGTCATGTAGACTCAGGTTTTGATTTAGAGAAGGTAGTTTAAAAAAATTCATTATCAGCTCAAATAAGCAAGTAAAACCTTGTATAGCCGCGTATAGTCCCTCCTCTTCTGCAGCTGAAGAACAATATCTTTCAGTTAACAGAAAGCATATTGTCAGTTTATCAATCAACAACTATTTGTTGATGTGTGTAAGATAACAGAAGCTCTCAAAACAAATGGGAGAAACTTTTGCAAGTGAAAGAAAAAAGTAGAAAATAAAAACAAAAAGCAGATAAAACATAGTTAAAAAATAACTTCTGGTTCAATGGAATTGTTTTGTAAGACATGGGTGGCTCTTGTTTTTGGAGGGCAACCATATAGTACCTTAACGTCAAGCTAGCCAAAAATCTAGGTACACATTCTGAAACACAATTGGGGCGGTTTAAATTTATTCATTTGGTGAGCGGCAGACTCTCACCAAGGGATTTTGTAGGTGTCAGAAATCATGCCCCCAGATTGCTTTGGAAGAGAGAAGCAGCAGTTCAAAAGACAGATAGGACTCTATACCCTAAGACAGCAGTCGCCAACCTTTTTGAGACCAGGGACCAATTTCATGGAAGACAATATTTCCATAGACTGGTGGGGTAAGGTGGTTTTGGGATGAAACTGTTCCACCTCAGATCGTCAAGCATTAGATTCTCATAAGGAGCACACAACCTAGATCCCTCGCATGTCCGGTTCATAATAGGGTTCGAGTTCCTATGAGAATCTGATCTGACAGGAGGTGGAGCGCAGGTGGTAATGCTTGGTTGCCTGCCACTCACCACCTGCTATGACGGGCCGCACATCAGTACTAGTCTGCGCCTTGAAGGTTGGGGACCCCTTCCCTAAGAGAAGAGTGAATTAGTTTTTTGTCGTTGCTGTAACAAATTACCACAACTTAGTGTATTAAACAATATATTAATAAATGTATTATCTCAAAGTTCTGTGGTCAGAAGTTTAACCTGGTTTCATTATGTTGGTAGCATGTTTCCCTTTTGGAGAATCTGTTTCCTTACTCTTTCCAGCTTCTAGGATTCCTACATTCCTTGGCTTATGACCCTTTTTTGTCTTCCAGACAGGCAGTTAAAGATCAGTTCCTTCTCATGCCACTTCTCTCTAATCCTCTGTCATTCCAATGCTCTCTGAAACAGCAGAGAAAGGTTGTTTACTTTTAAGGATTCATGTGATTAAATTAGGCTCACCTGGATAACCCAGGATAATCTTTCTATCTCAAATCTCTAATCACATCTGCAAAGTCATTTTTGCCATGCAAAGTAATATATTCACAGGTTCCAAGGATTAAAATATGAATATTTTGGAGGGGGCATTATTCTGCCTGTGCAGAATTTTAATTACACTTTTGCCATTTTCCTACTTTCTTGACTGATTGTTGTCAGGATTTAGAAAATTATAAATTTTCCAAGAAATGCCAAGAAGGAATTTTTATATATAAACACTGCAATACAGCCTGGAAAGTGCTATGGACGGTTGCATGGACCTCATAGTAAGAAAATCTAACATAGGCTTCAGGCTGGGGAAAGCGTTATAGACAATGAAAATCATATATAGGTTTTTGAAGAATATGTAATAGTTATCCTTGTGAAAGTTAAGGGAAGACAGGGAGAGAGAATCGAAATCATTTTAGGAGTTGAAGTTAAGTCACAGACGTGATTAAACTAAGACACAAATTTCATTTTTAGGGGGAAGTTAAAAATAGTTTAATATGAGTTCAAGTGTAGGAGGAGAGGGATATAAACTTTGAGAGTTAAGCATGGGACCTGTGTAAGTCTATTCTCATGCTGCTAATAAAGACATACCTGAGATTTGGTAACTTATCAAGGAAAGAGATTTAATTGACTCACAGTTCAGGATGGCTAGGGAGGCCTCAGGAACTTACAATCATGGCAGAATGGGAAGCAAACATGCCCTTCTTCACATGGTGGCAGCAAGGAGAAGTGCCAAGCAGAAGGCGAAATAGTCCCCTATGAAACCATCAGATTTAGTAAGAACTCACTATCCTGAGAACAACACGAGAGTGACTGACTCCCATGATTAAATTACCTCCCACAGTGTCTCTCCCACGACAAGTGGGGATTATGGGAACTACAATTCAAGATGAGATTTGGGTGGGGACACAGCCAAACCATATCAGGCCCAACATTAAAGTCTAAGAAGCTTTGACATTTAAGACAAAATTGGGAAGTGCTTGAAGGGTTGTAAATAGTGGCATCACAAGAAAATAAATGTGTTTTTAAGACAACTTCAAAGGCTACAATACAGAGTATACATTAAAATACAATCAATAGATTAAAATAAAATAAACAGGAATATGGTTTGAGAACCTGCATAGTTATCACAATGAGAAACATTACAGTGACTTCAACTAAGTGGAACAACAAAAACACTCATATACAGCTACTGCGAGTGCAAGTCAATGCAGTCAGTTTGGAACGGAGTGTGGCACTATCTAGTTGAAAATAA